CCCTTGGGCCACGCCTCCTCCTTTTCTTTTCTTTTTTCTTCCTCAGGCGACGCCTGTTGCTGGCTCCCCATGGGCGACGCCTCCTCTTTTTTTTTTTTCCGACAACGCCTACTATTGGCTTCCCTTGGGCAACGGTGGAGGCTGGTAGGGTGCTTTGAGTGACGCCAGGAGGCTGAGTAGTGTCTTGGGTGACGCCAGGAGGTTGGGCAACGCCTTGGGCGCTACTGTGTTTATGCAACACTGTGAGTTTTCCTATGGGCGACACCTCTTTGGTGCTTGACCTTGTTTCTAATTATAAGCACCCTATAAATCTAGAGACTCTATCTGCTTTTAGGGTGGTATTTTTCCCTCCTCTCAAGAGGGCGAGGTTTTATACCCCTAGTGTTTCTCGGTCAAGGTCCGATGGCTAGGTTGCTTCTTGGGAGATGGGGCCCGGTGGTGCCCCCACTTCTTCCTAGACTAGGACTTATGTGTATACCAGAGCTAACCCTTGTACTGATGTGGGAGTTAAGACTCTGGTGCGATTTTGCTACGGAGACTGTAGCTTCACATAGTTGTCATGCTTCTAGTAGTGGCTCGGTGTTAATCTAGTATAGTCCTGCGGGTTGTAGTGTGCCTGGCAAAAATAATGTTATCCCAATATTAAAATATCTAATATGATTACCTGGAGATAGAGGCAAGTTATTTGCATGAGAACAAAGTTAAAGCTATGGACATCCCATGAGAGGGCCGCATAAGCTGAGGCCGAACTACATATAGTCTCGAGGGATGGCTACCATGGCAGAGGTATGCAAGGTGACTAATTGCGCAAGAGCAGTGTCTGAGGCTGAGCTACGTATAACTCAAGAGATAGTTATACGGGAGATGACTGTCATAGCAAAGGCTTACAAGGTGACTACTTACGCGACAGCAGAGTCATAGGCAATGCTACGTATAACTCGAGAGATGGTTGCCGTAGCAAAGGCTTACAAGATGACTACTTACGCGAGAGCAAAGTGATAGGCAGTGCTATGTATAACTCGGGAGATGGCTGCCGTAGCAAAGACTTACAAGGTGACTACTTGTGTGAAAGTAGAGTCATAGGCCGAGTTACGTATATCTCGGGAGATGGCTGTCATAGCAGAGACTTACTAGGTGACTACTTGCGCAAAAGCAGAGTCTGAGACCGAGCTACGTATAACTCGGGAGATGGCTGTCGTAACAAAGATTTACAAGTTGATTACTTGCGCGAGAGTAGAGTCATAGACCGAGTTACTTATAACTCGAGAGATGGCTGTCGTATTAGAGGCTTACTAGGTGATTACTTGCGCGAGAGCAGAGTCATAGGCCGAGCTACATATAACTCGAGAGATGGCTGTCTTAGTAAAGGATACCAAGGTAACTACTTGTGTGAGAGTAGAGTCATAGGTCGAGTTACGTATAATTCGGGAGATGACTGTTGTAGCAAAGGCTTACTAGGTGACTACTTGTGCAAGAGTAGAGTCATAGGCCGAGCTACGTATAACTCGTGAGATGACTGTCGTGGTAGAGACTCATTCCATTGTGATGGAGATGAGGAGACCGCTGAGAAGCTGGGCGTCTGTGGTGTTAGGCGCTTGATGCTGGGCACCCTACCACTCTATTGAGATGGAGATGAGGAGGCAGCTGAGGAGTTTGGCTGCTACTGGGAGCCTGAGACTGGGCATGGATGTCAAAGGGCTCTAGATGCCACTGGGCACGAACGTCAAGGGGCATTGGGTGCGAACGCTGAGAGGCGATGGGTGCCTGCTGGATGCCGAGGGTCGTTGGGTGCCGCTGGGCACAAAGAGGTCCTTCTTGGGAGGCGTACAAAAAAAAGGCAATAGTCAGCCTGGGTGCTGGCCTGGGCGATGCCACCCTGGGAGCTGGCCTAGACTATACTTGCCTAGGCGGTGGCCTAGGTAGCGCTAGCTGCTTGCGCTGGCTTGGGCGAGGTCTCGAGTCACTCGAGCGACTCCTCGGGTAACACGGGAAAACGGTTAGGCAGTCACTTGATTCTGGTTGTGTTCCATATAAGGCACTAGAGGTAGACGATAACAGAGCAAGCCTTAATGATGAATTTTGTCTTTTTGTCTACCTTGTTATTAGGTCATGTTCTGACTTTTGTAAACTATTTGTAAGTTTTAGGAAAAGAAGACAATTCTGGACACAATAATCTTCACAAAATTTTATTTCATCAAATAATAAATAACAAAATAAATAACTGAAACAATAAAGGATATATAACATATTATGGTGTTTGGCGTCCATAGTTGGGCTGAGGTTTCCTTGGCGATGTTCAAGTCAACACCTCTTCTTGGCCCTCAAGAGATCATCTGGATTTCTCTGAAGGGTTGCTGCCATTCTCTGTCGACCTGGTCTCGGCCAGGTGGTGAGGTTTGTCCTCTGCCAGTAACATACTGCCTCAACTGGCCACGTTGTATAAGCTCATCGATTTGCCTTTTAAGTTCAAAGCAGTCGTCAGTATCATGGTCATGGTTGTGGTCGTGGTCGTAGTGGAAGCGACAGTACTTGTTCAAACTCCTCTGGTTCAGGGCGGTCTTTATCTTCTCTGGCCAGTGTATTGTAGGGTCATCCTGTATTTGGAACAGGATATGCTCCACGGAAGCATTGAGTGGCGTAAAGGCTTGCTGCTCTCTCAGAAGCGGGGGACCAAGGCGATCCCTGACAGATATTCTCTCTGTCTTATTCCTTTTGTTCTCTACTTCCCACTTGTTCTCATGGGTATAATTTCTCTTTTCCCCTTCTTTGGAGGACTCACCTCGACGGGCCTTGGTGACGTCCTCAGCATTCATGTACTTCTGTGTCCTTGACAGCAGCTCAGGCATGTTGGAGGGCGGCTTCTTAAGAACGGAGAACATGAAACTAGAGAATCGAAGACCAGCGATAAAGGCGACCAAGGCTATCTTATAATCTGGCTACTCAATCTGGAGAGCCTCCTCGTTGAAATGGGTGAGATAGTCTCTGAGGCTCTCATCCCTGTCTTGCTTGATGGTAAGCAGGTGAGTCACTAGTGTCTAATGTCGACGTCCCCCCAACGAAGTGGGAGACGAAGGACCTACTTAGTTCCGCAAAGGAGTGGATGAAGGAGGGTTTAATCTTTGCGAACCATTAGCAGGTAGACCTCTTCAAGGTGGTAGGGAAAGCCCAACACATAATCTCCTCAGGCACGTTGTGGAGTTGCATGAGAGATTTGCATGTGTCCGGATGGTCGAGGGGGTCTCTACTACCGTCAAAGATTTTGATGGTGGGCATCTTGAACTTTGACAGTAAAGGATAATTGATTATATCAGCATCAAAAAGTGTATCGATACGTCTTACCAGGTAGTCCACCGTTTCGGGCGCCTATACCTTGATGGCGTTGAGGGCGTCACCAAGTTGGTTTGCACCTCTTTGATCTTATCGTCCCATTAGTTGGGGACATCCTTCGTTGGGTGATTGTACTAGCTTCCATGGTTACCATATTGGCTCTCTCTTTCATCCTTCTGCGCAGGTACATGAAGAGGGGGAACACGTGAGCTCCCTACGGGCTGAGTAGGGACTATTGGGTGAGGTGTGCTCTGGCGTGGTTCTAAAGCGTTATGGCAAGGGACCCCATGGTGAGGGGCTGTCTAACGCCCAGAAGGAGGGATGGGTTGCTATTTCTATCCTGGGGTGAAGGGCGGCACCTCCCTGGGCCAACATCAACTGTATCATCTGCTGATTCTGCTTTACCAGTAACTGCATAGTCTGTAAGAGCTGTTGCTGTTGCCCACCGGTGGGAATCGCAGAAGTAGATGGTTCCGAGGGTGTGAAGGGAGGCGGAGCCTCCTCCTAGTGGGTCAGGTTGTTATCTCCCAGTTGTTAACTCATCGATCTGGTAGTGATTGTCATGGATTGAAATAGAGTAAAAAACTTAATCATTTCTCACTGACAGCGTCAAACTGATGATGCATAAATTGGTATTGCACAAGATTAACAGTCAAGTACATGTAAGAATACAATTAATGAGCAGTAAATAGGTAATCAATGGCAAAACAGTAAATAAGAGCAAAACACACAAATTTATAGTAGTTCGGTCTGAGTGACCTACTCCACTCTTGGAAACAGCAGCGGTAGCCTAGGATGTTTTATTGATGAATAGAGTCGCCGGGAAAGTATACTCCGGGAGTATTACACTAATGAGGAGAGAAAAGCAATGTTGTAGGAAGGTGCAGTGCGTGTAGAGATCTCAAAGTGTAAAGATCTCAAGGTCATGCCCCTCTATGTGGAGAAGGCTTACATCATATAAATTTGGTGAGGTGAGGCGGTGACATGAGAGAGGGCACCTCCTCTTTTGGTAAGTACAATTACGGTAAAATTTGATTTTCATAAGTACATATCCCAATATTCTCTCTCTCACGTGCTCCTATTTCTTAAGGCTTCTTAGATCCTAAACTGGGTCGGACCTGTAAAGTGGGTCTGGCCCACCCTTTAGCTAACTTGGGCCTTTTTGCTTCATTGGGCCTGGCCCGATTGATTTTGGACTCATCAAATTGAACTTCAGATTACTAAGAAGAACTCTGTCATAAAATTTTCCTTTCCTAACAGACAGATGTAAATTCATCGCATGTCGTTCTTTCAAAGGTGAACCACAACCACATCTCTTACTAAATCAAAAATTAAACTTTATGGGTTAAGGTCCAAAAAAAATCTCAATTCAAAACGGATGTGAATCAAAGCAGAATGCAAGGCAACAATAATAATGTCGTATGAAGCAAGAGTATATAAAAACTAAATAAGCATTTTTTTTTTGCCATGTACCTGATATAAATACCAAGTGGCATCATCATGTCCTACTAAACAAAATATTTTCCATGAAATTCCAGAATTTCTGTATAAATCCAACCCTTTAGAGGCACTTGATCCTCTTTCAAGAAAAAGTCATCAACCTTACCAAGTTCAGAAATTTAACATGCTATTTCTAAAACCAAATGTGGTCTGATAAATTTTTCTCAAATTGCTTATTGTGGACACTCTGAAAGGACAGAATTTTGGTTTCCGTCTTCCGGCCAAATCTTAGAAGATGTGCACTCTTCCTTAAAGCCACAATAGCCTGCACAAAATTACAGAACATTCTAAGGAATATAAACCCTCTGCTATATAAAAATGAGGAGTCATATTACCTCGTTAAAAGTCTTGACCAATGAAATTTACCATTTTAGAACATAAAAATCCAATGAAATGCACATCCACTATTTCTATTTTCCTTTTATTTTTTGAGAAGTGCTAATTCATCTATCTGGTGAAAACAACATCATACCACTCATTTCAACCACAAACAATGCAAAAGCAAACCCTATTTATTGTTTTATGTGTGCCACAAATTGCCAAAAACTACAAGTCTTGACCAGTTAGCCAAGAAGACTACATTAATTATAACTCATTGTACAGAATATAAGAAACTCACCCACACACGCATATATCCCCTAAAACTGGACACACCCCACTGAATTCTGATCCCAATTGGGTTTTTTTATATCGTTGATCAATGTACATCATATCAGTCAATCTGAATCACTCACATTGATAATAAAAATCTAAAATGTAACATAATTATCACACCATAGAATGAAATGAAAGTGGTTTTAATATATACACTATGCACTAAGGTAGAAAAGAGAGAAGTTATGACTTCAAAATCAAATTGAAGATAGAGAAAGCTGAGACCACCACAGTTAAGAACTCTTCACCCATTTTCAAGAGAATTTTAGAAAGGAGAGAGAGAGAGAGTGATGCATGGCAACATGGGTATAAAACCGAAATTAAACAACAGAAGCTAAAACTTGTTGATTATCGCAATAATACTAGATTAGAGCCTTCAATAATCTTGTTGATTCCATAGAATACCAAGGCAATTGGGAAGAAAGGAAAACTTGTCTCTAAGTTTTAGTCAATCAAAATCAAAGTTGTTGATTCAGTCTGACACTAAGAAGCACAGATACGAATACGTGACACGAGTATGATACGATACGGATACGGTCGATACGACAAAACTTAAAAAAATAGGATACCAGTATGACTAGAATACGTCTATAATAAAATATATTTTATATTTAACTATTATTTAACGACTTAGAAATTGTAATTTTCAATAATTCTTTAACATTAGTAAGCAAAATTGTGAATTTTTACATTGAAAAATATATAATATCGTCTTATTATTATATATTCATAAAATGAGCATGATCAATTGAAGAAATCACAACCACATTTAACTAATTGATGTGTTTACAAATATTTATTTTTAAGATTATAGTGTAAGTGACTAATTTTTTTTATACTCTTAACATATAATAATATATAATACTTAAAAAAACACTCGTGTCTTCAAAATCAGATGGAATTTTGTTGATGTTTTATATTGTATGTGAACTCCAAAGAAGGAGGTATAGCTTAAAATTAAAAATTATACATCTTACTCTATGTTTAGAACTATCCGCGAAATATCCACATATTTTATTAATTATTGAATACGAATGATGCGTATCACCGAGTATCCGACGAATATCGTATCTGATACGGATACGTCGACCTTGATGAAGTATCTGTGTTTCATAGGTCTTACACATCCTTTAAATACTAAGCTCAAGCAATCCAAAATTACGGGTAAACCACAACATTAATACAAATATTAAATAAGTACCCCAAACAGCGGGATAGGATATAAAAGTGTTTAAAAAGTGGCTTAAATGTCGTTTTTGGCTTAAAAACGACCAAAAAACGATGGATTGAAAAATACATGTTTCAATTTTGCTTAGCTTGTCAAGACCTTTCTGAAATGGGGGCTTAATAAATTTTCTGACATTGTTGCCTCAAATCAGCCCCGATTGATGCTTGATTAGCACTGCTTTCGATGGTCTTGATCTGCCATGTAGTCATGTGCTAATTGTGATGCATCATTCTCCCCAAGTTGGAGAGAATTCGCCCTCGAATTAGAAGTGTCATCGTCAGAGCTGTCACCTATGTATGGAACAAGGTGCTTGACATTGAAAACATGAGAGGTACGAATATGACTTGGCCGCTTCAACCTGTAAGCATTAGAATTAATTTTGTCAAGAATCTCCATTGGTCCAATCTTCTATGTTGCCAGTTTATTGTATTCCCCAACAGGAAAACGATCCTTAGTCAAAATGGCCACACCAAATCACCGACGTCAAACTCTACCAAACGCCTCTTCTTATCCACTGCTTGCTTGTATTTCATTTAGCTTCAAGGAGATTCTGTTGAGTAGCCTGGTGAACTTGTTGCAGAGTGTTAATAAAATCTTGAGCCTTGCCATGAACACTTGTCAAATCTGGGAGAGGGAGTAAATCAAGTGGAGATCACAAAACTTTGTTGTAAACAACATGGAATGGACACCTTTTGATCCCAAATCTTCGAATGATCACCAACCAAACTGCGTAGAAGATCCCCCAAAGAATGATTAACTACCTACATCTGTCCATTAGTCTGGGGGTGGTAGGTAGTACTAAAATCCAGTTTGGTGTTGGTCAATCTCCACAAACTATGCCAAATGTGACTGAGAAACTGAGTGTCCCTATCAAAAACAATGGAGATAGGTAATCCATGGAGATGGTAGACCTCCCAAAAATACAGATGCGCCATATTAACTACATCAACAGTATTCTTACATGGAATGAAGTGAGCCATCTTGGAAAACAATCCACAACTACATAAATTGAGTCATTTCCCCGCTGTGTACAAGGAAGTCCCAAGGCAAAATCCATGCTCACATCAGTCCATGGTTGTGTTGGTACCGGCAACGGATGTCCAACCCAGCATTTGTAACTTTCCTTTAGACACTTGACAAATTAGACAACCCTTCACAAATCTATACACCTCTCGCCGCACTGTAGGCTAGAAATAACTAGATGCTGCAAGTTGGGAAGTCTTGTCCCGTCCCACATGACCTTCATTGTGCAATTCCTTGATAACTTGTAGGTGAAAGCTAGATTCCGGAACAAATAACTGATTTCTTTTAAAAAGAAAACCATCCTACGTATGAAAATCTAAATGTTGCTCTCCTACCAGAACATCACCCATCACTGGTAAAAAATAGGGGTCATTAGATAATAATTCACGTAAAGAATCAAATCCACGTACCTTAGTCCTCATAACTGTGAGAAAAGAAGCACGGCGACTGAGTGCATTTTCCACTCGACTTATAGCGCCAGATTTGTGCTTTACGACAAATGTGTACTGCTACAAATAAGCTGCCCAGCTGGCATGCTGTCGAGATAGTTTGTCCTGGTTGTGAATATGCTTCAAGGCATTATAGGTTAGAATACAGTACAAACTCATTGTGAACGAGGTACTAGTGCCAATGTCGCAGGGCTTGCACAATGGCATAAAACTCCACGTCATAAATAGTGTAATTCAGCTTGGCCCCAGTGAGTTTCTGGCTGAAAAAGGCTACGGACTTGACATTCTGACTGAGGACTACCCCAATACCGACCTTTGACGTGTCGCAGTACAACTCAAATGGTTGATTAAAATCTAGAAGAATAAGGAGAGGATCAGAGGTGAGTCTCTGCTTAATCAACTAAAAGGCCTCCATAGCTACTTTTGTCCAAGTGAATCTGCTATCCTTTATACAGTCTGTAATAAGTGCCATGGTCGTGTTAATGTTGGGAATGAAACGTCGGTAAAATGATGCTAGCCCATGAAAGCTATGCACATCATGTATACTCCTCAATTGAGGCCACTGTCGGATTGCTTCGACCTTAGGATCATCGATCGAGATACCCGCTCCAGAAATTACATAACCAAGGAAAATGACCCAATCTTTCATAAACACACATTTGTTGGAGGAACCAAAAAAACTTCTTGAAGATGTTGTATGCGTTCCCCTGGGTTAGCACTATAAATGAGGATATCATCAAAGTACACAACTACGAATTTACCAATGTTGGGACGAAGCACTTGATTCATAAATCGCATGAAAGTGCGGGGAGCGTTGGATTATCCGAAAGGTCATCACCAGCCACTCATATAGACCCTCACGAGTCTTAGAAGTTGTTTTCCCCTCATCCCTAGCTTAATTCGGATCTGATGATAACCCGCCTTAAGATCCAATTTGCTGAAAACAATGGCTCCACTTAACTGATCAAGTAGATCATCTAGTCTAGGAATGGGAAATTTGTAACGAACGGTGATCTTGTTGGTTGCTCTACTATCAACACACATACACCACGATCCATCCTTCTTTGGAGTAAGAAGTGCTGGTACAACACATGGGCTTAAGCTCTCTTGAACATGATCCTTGAGCAAGAGATCCTCCACCTGACGTCGAAGTTCCTCATGCTCAACTGGACTCACACAATAGTGTGGTTTGTTCGAAAGGCTAGCACCAAGAATTAAATCAATCTGCTGCTGAATGTCTCACAAAGAGGGTAACCCCTCAGGAAGCTCCTTAGGAAACACATCCTGAAACTCTTCAATCAAACACTGTACTGGTTCGGGAATAATTGACCCCTCTACAACCTCCTTAGAGATCAATACATAAACAACCCCCGTATCAATCATATCTTCTTCAAACTTGGCCATAGATAAGATGGAACCCGTACCAACTAGTGGTTTAGGGGTAGTCTTTTGAGTGGGAATAAGTACAACTTTAGTAGCATCAAACAAAAAGCTATACGTATTCTTTGGCCCTCATGCCTTACATCTCAATCAAGCTGCCATGGCCTCTCCAATAAAAGGTGGCATGCATCCATGGTCACCACATCGCACCATACTTTAACCTTATATCTAGAGCCAATAGAAAAAGGATACCAAGCAAGGCTTAGAAACAGTTACCTTATTTCCTTTCTTCAGCCATGATAATTTGTATAATGTAGGGTGATGTTCTGTCTCCAATTCCAAATTTTGAATAGCTTCATCATAAATTACATTCTTGCAACTGCCATAATAAATGACAAAGTGGCACACTTTCCCACCAATTATACATGTAGATTGAAAAACATTGTTGCACAACCAATCATCCCCCTCCACTCCTCGAGGTGTGAAACAGGCCCACAAACAACGAGTAGTGGTCCATGATTACCCATCAACAATTTTTCTTGGAACTGACTGTCATCAGCATCATCAAACACAAGATCCTGTTCAAAGTCATAAGTCTCATTCTCCACGAGGTCTCCACTATCCACAAACAACTCCTTCACGTTTCTGTCATTATTCTTGCATTCCGCCATCCTATGACCTGTCTTGCCACTCTTAAAACATCGTACCCCCGCTGCTACTATCGCGGGTCTATTATGTTGCACCCTAACAGGTTGTTTTGCAGGCACAAGTGGTGGCGACGCAGCAGCACGAGCAACAAAAGGAACACTTCCCCCTCTGCAAAAACTATTAGAATTGTTACCCCACACAATGATGTCTGGTTTGCGATTCAATTGTTTTCCAACTGTAGTGCTCATTGGTGTGCATCAGAAATAGAATAAGGGTAAAATAAATTAACAGTATTTTGAAATTGGGGTCGTATACCTCCGATATAACGTGATACCAGTTGCTCTTCTGTCTTTGCTAAATCATTGCAGACCACCAACTGATGGAACTTCGTAGTGTACTCATCCACTGTGCGAGACCCTTGGCATAAATTCTGTAGGTTCTGATACATCATCCGCGTGTAGTTATGGGGCAAAAACACAGCACACATGTGCTTCTTTAGTTTCTCCCATGAATCAATCTTCCTTTTCCCTTGCCGCATTCGTGTAAATTTAGACTGCTGTCACCAGGCTATAGCCCATCCCCAAACAGAGTCACAACGAATGGGACACATTTATTGTCAAGAACTTCCTTCAATTCCAACCAATCCTCCACAACACTAAACCATCCAAAAAATCTTTTGGTTGCAAACTACCATAGAATTCAAGTATATCAATTTTGAGGCCCGATTCCTATCTCCTAGAACCATTGTTGTTTTCCACTTGCCACATCTCTCTCTTCCGGCCTCCTCATGCTTGCACACATCTCCGATGACGGCCTCTTGTACAGCAGCCGGACGTCTACTTGGCGGCATAGTGTAGGAATGAGTGTAGGCTCTAATACCAACTAATGTAGAGCAGCGTGGGTATAAAACCGAGACTAAAAATAGAAGCTAAAATATGTTGATTATCGAAATAATGCCAGATTAGAGTCTTCAATAGTCCTGTTGATTCTGCAAAATATCAAGGCAATTGGAAAAAAAAAAAAGAGAGAGAGAGAGAACTTCTAAGTTTTATTTAATTAAAATCAAAGTTGTGGATTTAGTCTTACACATCTTTTAAATACTAAACCCTAGCAGTCCTAAATTATGGAAAAACCCCAGCATTAATACAAAATATTAAATAAATACCCCAAACAACGGGATAAAATATAAAAGTGCTTAAAAAGTGGCCTAAATGTCATTTTTGGCTTAAAAATGATTAATTGAAATATATATGTTTTCATTCTTACTCAGTTTGTCAAGAGTTTTCTGGAATAGGATTTTAATAAATTTTCTAATACTATCCCCCAAAATCAACCCCGATTGACACCCGATCAATGCTGATTTTGATGGTCTTGATTCGCCATATAGTCATGTGCTATAAATGTGCTACATAAGAGGGATAGAGAGGGAGAAAAAGAGAAAATCTAAAAGGACAGAATTATATATATATTTGATACTGTGACAATGAGTATGATAATATTGGGAGATTGAAAATAAATCAATATATGTCTCTTTCCGAAACTTTGATAACATATCCCCCGGGACCTCATATTATAGGAACCTTGGCAAGAGGATGAACCAAAAGACAAGATATATCCATAGGTTTCAATTTTCGCTTGACTTTGATTCAACAAAAGACCTCCTGTGAGGGGATAATTTCGCATTATGAGTCTCTACCTCGTACGGACGGAGAGGATGGTGAGAAAGCTTTGAGTAACCTGCAAGACAAGAGAACACCTGCATGAACCGATGGCCAGAGGCTCTGGTGCTCAAGTCAAATCACAAGTTGAAGAAGAGTATGGAGTGAATAGGATAGGATTGAATCCCTTACCAAGTACCTAGAGGCCTTTATTTATAGATGTCCCAAAGGAACTTGAACTCTAGGTGGTGATAGGATCAACCATATCATCAACCCCTTAAAGTTCGGAGTGGTGATAGGGTCAACCATATCATCAACCCCATAAAGTTCGAAGTAGTATTCAACTATGACTCTTGCTCCTTGGTGCCTTATCACTAGCTCTTAGAAATTCAGAGTAGTGTAGACTAGGACTTTAGGGTCTAGGTTGGTCCTCAGGCAAGAAGGAATCATCTAGTAGAGATAGGCAAGAGAGCATGTAGTAACTTAATTAGAAGTAAGGTGGCCGACCCATGGTGGCTTTGAGTAATAGGTGTCAACCGGTGGGTAGCTCCCAAACCAAGTGTCGACTGGCTAGGACTTAACCAAGTAGGTGCTGACTGGCAGAGGCTTTTCTCAAGTGAGTGCTAACTAGTAGAGACTCACTTCCCCCATACCTCACTTAATCATCTTGTATTAATTAAGGTATGTTTTTGAAGAGCGAATATCCAACTAATGGGCTGCTTTGGCCTATAAAACTTGGGCTTCAATTGTCTAAGTAGCTTAAGGCTTTGAATTCCCTTCCCTTCTCTTTCTTTTTTACATTACTTTGGAGATTGGCCAAGAGGAGAGGAGAAACATTCATTGTTGCTTGTACAGGGAACTAAATTAATTTTCCCATGAGCTAGTTGAGCGATAAGAGTTACTAGAGAGTCAAGCCGAGTCTGATATGGTCAGGCCAGACATGCTTGAAAAGCAACTTAAGAATTCCTGAGTGGAGAATGCCTTCTTGAAGAATAAGGTTATTGAGATAGAGACTCAAACTGGCGATCTCTAAGAGGTACTTGCTAAGGCTGAGAGAGAGTACGCTGAGATAGAGGAACAAGTGAAGAATGTTGTGTATGATCATTACTCCGGAATTCTACACAAACCCAAAAAGAAAAATGCAAGAGAGAAGAACTAGTCCTTTAGATATGGTTAAGAAGGAGCTCTCAAGGCATCCGAATTAATGGGTCATATAAAGCTTAGGGGGGACATTCCAGGGCCTGAGAGTCACTTTCGAATTCCTGAGATCATGGAAAAGTTCCTTTGTGTTGGTAGTTCGAGTTTTCTAACACATGTGCCTCCCGTTCTAACCAAAGGGAGAGGGTCGCCATGAGTTGAGGTGTCTAATGCTCTGAGGTGGCAAATCCTTAAGAAAGACTTAGTAGCACGTTGAGCAATGGTAGAAGTTATTGGTCATTTTTCAACAAATAAGTAACTTAGAAGGAAACCCTAGAGCTTGCGTGGAGGCGAAGTAACCTGAATAACAATCGTGGAGGTTGCATGGAGGCCAAGTAGCCTTAAAAGGCAACCATGGAGGTTGGCTAGAAGTGAAGAAGCCTTGAGGTGCAACCACGGAGGTTGGCTTGAGGAGAAGGAGCCTTGAGGTGCAACCACATAGATTGGCTTGAGGTGTAACTACGGAGGTTAGCTAGAGGTGCAACCACGGAGGCTACAATAATCACAAATAAAGGAACACTTAGAGTTGTGAAAAATAAACTTTTCTTCACTAATCAATGAGAACGAGAAATAAATGCCGTTGAAGACTTATTGAAATAATAAGACACTATCGACTAAGCTAAAAGTAAAACTTAATTATCTGGTTAGTCATCCAATTGAATTTGTTGCTCTCCCTGCTCCTTGGCAGTCTTTTCCTTGTCAATGTACCGAGAGAGGTGGCCTTGCTTGACTAATTCTTCTAGGTGGCGCTTGAGTGCCCAACAATTCTACTTCCGATGGCCTTTGTCCTTATGATAAGAATAATGGAGGCTTTGGACCCGCTTTGATGGATCTCTTATCATCTTAGGTGGCCACCTAAAATGCTCATTATCTTTGATTTGGTTCATGACTTGATAAATAGGCTCCTTGAAGACAATGTTGACTCCTTGGTAAGAGTCTCTCATTCCCTTTGATGACTCGTCTCTCCTTGATGGGTTAGAAGTGTTGTCTTCCCCCATTTGATTCTTCTTTGGAGAAGATGGTAGCCAGTCGACTGGTCCCTTATTGTCCTCCACCTTCACGTACCTCTTGGCTATTGATATGTGACCCCTATGTTCTTTAGTCGAAATGGCATTACCTTGTAGCAATAGATCCCGTGACGAGTTATAAAGGTCGTTTTCTCCTGATCGGCCTTATGGAACGGGATTTGGTGAGAACCTGCTCGGGCATCCATAAAGGTCATGCGTTCATGTCCCGCGGTCAAATCAACCAATTGGTCCACCTTAGGCATTGGGTAGTCATCCTTTGGACACGCCTTATTCAGATCCATGAAATCCACATATACCTGCCACTTCCCGATTTTCTTCTTCGCACAAACAGAATTGGACAGCCATTCAGGGAACTGGACCTCTCTAATGGACCTTGTCTCAAGCAACCGGTCAACTTCGTCATCTACAACCCAAACGTGATGTGGTGTCAACCGCCGAGCTTTCTACTTGACCGACTTGAAGACTGGGTCGACATGTAGCCAACGGCAGATTACCTCGGGACTTATCCCCGTCATCTCGGCAAACGTCTAAGCAAACAAATCAGAATTTTGCCAAAGGAAACTCACCATCTCAAACTTCTCAGCTTCCCCCAGCGAAGCCCCTACTAGAAAAAACCTTTCTTCGTCACCCTCATAGGGGAACATTTTGATCAGATCCTCCATTAATCGGTTCGTTAGGTCAACCGTACACTCGTCGACCCCTAATAGACCAAATTGTGATTCCTATTTGGCCACCACCACTTCGGGGTCATGCTCTTTGGCCTTGGCATTGACCTTAGTCTATACTGTAGCATAGAAGCAACTTTTGGACGAGGCTTGATCGTCACAGATCTCCATGACCCCCTTTGGGGTTGGAAACTTGAGTTTTTCATGGTACGAGGAATGCATCGCCTTCAAGGCGTGCAACCAAGCCCTCCCCATTATAGCATTGTAAGATGAGTCTGACCCTATCACCACAAACTCCACAGGAATTGTGACTATCCCGGCTATGACCACCAGGATAATATTCCCGAATGGTACTACGAATAAGTCGTTAAACCCCACAAGAGGCGTCTTCACGGGCTTCAAGTCTTTTTGTGTGAAGCCTATCTTCTAAAATAAGTTGTCATACATGACCTCATATGAACTACCCAAATCTATCAAGATCCTCTTCATGTCAAACTTCTCTATTCGCAAGGTGATCACCATGGCATCCTCGTGAGGGAGGACAAGTCTACTGAGGTCGGCATCTAAGAAGGAGATCTTTTTGGGCTCACACTGAGCTCACTTTTATGATTTCCCCTCACTCTGTTGATCTACCTTGGCAACCTGTGCTACTATTTCTAGGTCGGTGCGCAAAGAGTAATAAGTTAGTCGTTCCACCATA